TAATATACCTGTACATACAATTGTCAATTTGTATATTGTATTCCTTATTTACTTGTTCTATATTTGATTTAATTTAATTTTATTTTATTTATAATATTATATAATATTATTTTATTATTTTATCTGTGTTTATGTTCTGTCACTGTCATTCTGTTGCACTGGGAAGCTTCTGTCACGAAAACAAATTCCTCGTATGTGTAAACATACCTGGCAATAAAGCTCATTCTGATTCTGATTCTGATTCTGATCTTGCTTCTTCCAGCGGGGAAAGCAGATCTCATGTTGAAGTGTTGTTGATGCAGTCACATTAGCACAACTTCAGCGATGAATTGCGAGCAAAAAGTCTATTTCAATTGTGAGAAGCAGTGCTCGCTCAGGTCACTTGCAAGTCTATCGGCTTATCAATCAATCCACGTGGCGAGTTCGCTTTCAAGTTCATGAACTTGAATCTGGTGAAATACTCTGTGGGAAACGAACCCCAGTCTCAAAATTCCTTATTGAATGCTTCCTATAGAGGTGTAATTCGCCGTCTGATTAGCTCCTGAGCAAAGCGATAGCTGCTGAATAATGACTGAAAGGACCTTATAAAGGGAATTATGATTGGCGTCATATTCCTATAGGTAGATGTGGATCAGCTGAGTGTCAGCTGATGCGAGCTTGACTAATGTGACCTGCCAGAACTAATGCTACGCTCCATTGCAATTGTAACCCAAGGAAATCGATTTATGAACGTGGTTTTGTGCAGCTTGTCAGTGAACAACGGCTCTGTGTAGTAAATGCTGCTCAATCTGAAAGCACGCACGTGATGGAGATTTACCGCTGATTACAGAACCGGCTTTACTGACAAGATGTGCATTAAATATCGCATGCGATTTATCGTGCAGCCCTAGATTTCGAAAATCCAAGTTTGAAGTCTCAGTCCCATGTAGTGTGTGTAAAAAAAAGTTAATCAGTTAATCAAGTACGAAAGAAAGAAGAGCTAACGAGTTGATAGAGTGCGACGAGATGACGAAGATAATTTGTTCCGGAGGAATCCACTCATCTCAGTCCCATGTAATGTGTGGGGGAAAAAAATATTTCTGTCCTATCACTTCACCAGGAATACGGTTCAGTTAATCAAGTACGAAAGAAAGAAGAGCTAACGAGTTGATAGAGTGCGACGAGATGACGAAGATAATTTGTTCCGGAGGAATCCACTCAGATGATTCAGGTCCAAATTTATCACCGAACAACAGTCCAAGGAAAAAAAAACAGTCAGAATGTCTCAGAAAACAGTCACGGAAAGCAATAAGTCTTCGACTTCTCTTCCACAGTGTTTCAAATTCAACCTCCCAGAAGCTATGCGTTTTGTCCGTGCTTCATGCACATTCACTCTGCGCGCAATTACTGTGCACTCTCTCCCCGTGTGAACTACCCCATTCTCTTAAAGGGGCAGTACCAGGTTTTAAAGAAGTGTGACTAAGTAAAACAGGATAGAAATATCAAGGGTTACATTTGCAACACAGAAATGTAGCCTACTGTGTAAGTAGACCGTTTGTGAAGCTGTTTCAAACATAAAGCTTACATGATGATCAGCGGCAGCGCAAAAGCAGCTTTAAATATTAGGATCCAAAATGTGACTGACTGTCATTTCAAAGGTTTAATACACATAGCGGAATCGTCATTTAGGAATAAGAACACGTGTGTTTTAATCAAGTTCGCAATCTTTTAAAGATTAACTGTGCATACATATGAGTCTATAGCTAATATATATATATATATATTTTTTTAATATTTGAAACAATCACACCGGTGTGATTAGAACATTCAGTGTCACATCGCCATCTGCTAAATTCAAATCTGCGTTCGCACTTTGGCAGGCGTTGAGCCAGAGACAGGCACATTTTTAAAGTGCTGCACATTATAACCAATCACACACGATTCTGTTGAGATTATTAATACAATGACCAATCAGAGGCATCCAGATGAGCCATCGCTTTTGTTCAGTGCGTGCGCTCGCTGAATGAATTCTGCTCTCTGGTGAATTCTCTCATCAGAAACAACAAAGTGCAGATGCGTGTACGAATGTAAGAAAGATATTCATTTCACAGTGTGAACTGCTTCAGTGATTATAATGGGAGATTTTGAGAGTGCTTGAACTCAATCAATGATAATGTTCTTTGATAATGTAAATGTTCTTTGCTCTCTTTCTGTAAAATGAAATTGTTATTATTAGTAAGTTACAACGTTTTTTATTAAATTCATATTAAATGCAAAGTCATATTACAAATATTTTATGACATGACACCCATATCTGGTACTTAAAAGGTGCACTAAGTGATTTTTGCCAAACAATGTTAATATTTGAAAGCACCAAAACAAACATGCCCATACCCCAACAGGACCTCTAATTAACCCTAATTTTGAAATCTCCGCCCCACACGTACGTACACAGCCATGGCAATGACGATTGCGGAAACAAGTGAAGATGACACACAAGCATTTAAACAAAAGCCATCACGGATAAGTTGTGTGAAACGAAGCAAAATCAACGTTACTGACCTATCAAGAACGCAACCTCGATGAACGATTCCAGGCCTTCCCTTCTCCTTGAGTTCTCTCCACCGCTGGGATATCTTCCTCTGATATTTTCCTGTTTTATCCTTTTATATTTTCCTCTCTCTATCTATGGTCAACCTGCTAATATCGGTCCTGTGCACTCAAATTGGCCGCTCTCTTCTCCGTTCAATTACTAGACACGCCCCTTACTGCTGATTGGCTACAAGTGTGTTTTGGGACTCAGTCCGACACTGCGGTCAAAAGCGTTTTTCAAATATTGCTTAGTGCACCTTAAAGTAAAAAGATGGGTTTTATGCAAAGTTAATAGATTACACTAACATTAGGCTACACTGCCCATTATAGATCAACTAACATGAGCTATAAATGTGCAAAATGCATTAACTTACACATATTTGAGAATCTAGATATTTCATGATATAGTTTACACGTTTGGAAATATGTTAAATAAAATAAAATAAACTCACTAAATAAATAAAACCAACAAGCCTACATCAGTTATACAGGTGCATCTCAATAAATTAGAATGTCGTGGAAAAGTTCATTTCAGTAATTCAATTCCACGACATTCTAATTTATTGAGATGCACCTGTACATCACTATGTTGTTGTGTGTCACATGACAAGGCCTCCCCCCTTCACTCGTGGCCCCCTCAAAAATAATAAGTGCATGATGTCCCTGGTGGGGAATATTTGCTCGGAGGCGCTACAGACACAGCTGCCAAGTGAAAACATATTCCTTAAAAATGACTTTGTCAAGACTGGACCAGTTCAGACAGATCTGATAGAAATGCATTCCTAAGAAAACCTCCTCAAAAACATTCCAAGTGTATAAAATAAGCTGACTAAAACTGTTTCTTGACACTATGACATATTACAGGTAATTTGGCAACAGGAAAACTCGTCACACAGTCGTCAACCTATGGCCTCTGGTCTGCTGAACAGGCCATTCCAATCCTGGTTTCAGAAAGTCGTGGTCATCGTGTTCCTCAACCAATATTCAGACTAACCCATGGTGGAGAGTGGATCTGAGTTCTGTGTACAGAGTTAATAGAGTCGTCATCACAAACAGACTAGACTGCTGTCCAGAACGAATAAACGGAGCGGAGATTCGCATCGGAAACTCTTTGGAGAACAACGGCAACAACACTCCCATGTGAGACCCTCTTTCAGTGGCTTAATATCCATGAAAATCCCTGAAATCACATATGACGAAAGACTATAAGACTAAATTATGTTTTCTCTGTCTCTCTTTAGATGCGCTGTGATTTCTAGCATTCCAGCTGGTGTTTCCTCTATGAAGAAGGTGTGATCAAACAAGCAGATTTAGTGTTTTGGGAAACTCCTTCACAATTGTTGAAATTTGGCTGTCTAAGTTGAGTTGCATGCTCTCAGCTTTCAATAATTTACTGCATAAAACGCATTTGTGTTTGACTTTTGCAGGTGATCCCATATTTAATGTCATCTACGTAGGTATTTTTGTTTGTTTTACTTTGTGTAGTTTTGTTCATGATTTTGAGGATCACTAGACAAACTCTCACTGAATCTGTTTAATCTTAAGTGACAGATGCATTTGCAACAAACTGCTGCAGAAATTGTAGACTCGATGCATTTTATGTTTTTATTATTGCATTTAGCATTTGCTTTTCCCTTCTATGTATGTTCATGCTTGTGTGTACTTTTATGTCCTGTTTCCCAAGAAGACTCGTGTGAAGATGAAACTGAAGTTTGAGTCTGTCTGAACCTCCAGCTCCTGTCACAGGTGAGAGAGTGAAACATAGAGAAATATGAAATCGAATCACATTGATAGCAGTTTTAAGAGATCTACTTATTTCAGCTTCAGTCTGCTCTGGCGGAACGAGGGATTTCTGATGTGAAGAAAGAGATTATGACGGCAGTGATGTGAAAACCTAAACTCTCTTCAGATCAGCTTTGATGTTCTTCATTTAAATGCTGGAATTTTCTCCATTCCTCAATATTGATCACAATAAAGTTGTATGTGAAAATTTTGAAAATTTGATTCCTGATTGCTGCTTTGAAGCCATTTGTATTGTATAAAGTGCAAGCACTTGACAATGTGGGGGCAATGTTATTTAAGTGAAATTTATTTATTTTTATATTTTTAATAATATTTTATGCAATACTTATATTAATGTTATTTTTTTAGATTTTAATATTTTTAAGTTTTATTTCAGTTAACATAATACTTTTTTCAAGTGTTTTTTTTTTTTTTTTACTGCAGTTTACTCTTTTAATTTACTTCATTACATTTTCTTATTTGTCAGCTATTGAGAAGTCATTAGTATAAAAAAAAAAAATCAACAAACAATCACAATATAAAAAGGTGCAGCCTCACTTAACTGTATAAAGTGTCAGAGGACTGTTAAGTGATGAAATTTTTAGCTATTAATTCACATATAATGTTGTTTGGAATTATAATATTTCTAACCACCTGATGTCAGCAGCAGCATCTTTACTGATGTTACTGATGTTTATAGCCATACTGAAATCAACAATAAAGAGTTTACCTCAGATCTTGAAAATAAATGAAAACAAACATGTTTTAATTTACAGTTTTTTCCCCAAACAACCACTAGATAACGCCAAGGTAAATTTTTGCTTTGACTATGGACTACATTCACAAGAGTGATGTAAAAGTATTCACGATGAAGCTTACACTGGACTGGAGATGTACTGTACCTGAGACAAAACCGATTTCACAGTAAGTGATCTAATTTTCAACAGTAAGAAAAAAAAGTGTTAGCTATAAAGTTTGCTGTTTTGTAGGACACCACAGTTATATATGATATAAGAATAGAAAGGCCTGTAGATGGAGAGTATGTGCCCAGCCGGCACATGACCAACTTTCAACGTTGAAATATGGTTGAAATAATGACAGCTGTTGTTTCAACGTTGAAAAATGTTTAATGCTAAATGGTTGAAAAAGGTTAGCAAAAACACTTGTAAATCAACGCTGATTTTTTGTTTTACAAGATCTGTATGTTGAATCAATTTAATGTCTTCAACAGCATACAAAAGACATTTCTGCCTTTTAAAGTATTATTATAAAATTATTTTAAGATCATTATTATTATTTTAATAGCATTTTACAATATTTTGATCATGAATCCTATTCTAAAATCTAAATGTATATGTTAAATATTATAATCATTAACAACAATAAAGTTAAATACATTTTGCTGCGTTACCACGCTGAAACAATTCCTATTGGTTGTTGTACTTTATTGCTTTGATCATGATTGGTTAATCTGGCTGTCATCCAGGAATCTGGCCAATGAAACTGTTCGCGCCTTTCTAAATGTGAAAATATGACAGATCGTCTTTCTGAGTGAGGCGGCTGACTGTGAGCTGCTGCTTGTTGAAACTGCTCGGTCGGTCCCGGATTATTTTATATTTGCCTGTTAAAATTTTTATTTTGAGCGAATTTGAGTCGTGACATGTCAACGGAGAACAAAAACTGGAATGTGAACACAAGAAGGGTTTACAAATGGGTAAAGGACATGTAATCTGCAGAAGATAAATACCTGTGTGTGTGTATTTTTGTATTGCTATATCACAGATGCTAAAGTTAGATGCTCATCTGATGTTGATGGTGTGATGCTGGTAAGTTATGTGTTAAAGGGTTAGTTCACCCAAAAATGAAAATTAGCCCATAAATTACTCACCCTCAAGGCATCCTAGCTGCATATGACTTTCTTCCTTCAGACGAATCCAGTCAGAGTTATATTAAAAATTGTCTTTGATCTTTCAAGCTGTTTAATGGCAGTCAGCGGGTGTTGCATGCATCAGTCCAAAAGAAGTGAAATAAAAATCGCCCATTCATAATAAAAAGTGTCTCACACAGCTCCGGGGGGTGAACAAAGGCCTCCTGTAGCGAATCGATGCATTTTTTTGTAAGAAACATAACTATATTTAAAACGTAATAATCAATTTAATCTAGCTTGCGCCAACAGTTGTACATGGAAGCAGCTCCGGGTGGATGACGTAAGACGTCAGCATTTTTGGGTGAATTAACCCTTTAATGTCTGTCTTTTAGAGATTTTTCCACATTTTCCTGATGTGAATGCCATGCATTAGGTATGTTATATATTTTTTTAATCGTATAATAGTCTCAAAGATAACATACTCTGTTCGTGTTTTCTGAATATCATATAATCGCAAATGTCGGTACAATTTAAATAAATTAAGATTGTTTAAAGCAGTGGTTCTCAAAGTATGGTGGTACTCAGAGGAATCACTATATTAAATATAAATTAATGTTAATACATTTGAATTTAATCTTTATTTGAGTAAAGTTTTTTTTTTACATTTAAGTACAGTACAGTTATGTAACTTTTGTTACAACACATTTGAATTTATTCATTATTTAAGTTTTTCATGTACCTGTATGTAAGCACAGTGCAGTGTTAATGTTCAAACTTTGTATTTACAATATTAAAGTGGCTGACAACAATAAATATTCTTATTAGGAATAAAACTGCCTCATTTTTTAACTGTGCAGAGCTGTAGCTGAATAGTTAGGCCTACTGCACTGTTGAAATTTAATGTTGGTCATTATGGTGGTACTTAGAGAGCCAAATATTTGCTGAAGTGGTACTTGGTATAAAAAGTTTGAGAACCACTGGTTTAAAGAAATGGTATAAAATGAAATCCTGCTTTTTAAGAACTTTTCAGTAAACCATTTCTTCTTTCCCCTTGTAGAGTCATCAAGGATCCTGCTTATCATTGGCAAATTGGTAAGGAATTGTTCATCTGCTACATTGGACTGTCACTTCTGGTGGAGATTCATTGATTGGTAAGGAATTGTTCATCTGCTACATTGCACTGTCACTTCTGGTGGAGATTCATTGACCTTTTGTGATAGGTTTTGATTTTACTTGGCTTAATAAAAATTTACTTAATTTGATTTTACTTGTTTTACTAAATACACTGTATAGTTAGGATTCTGATTAAAACAGTGTAACTGGGGGCTCTGAAAAAAAATGCTTGTGAATAATTTGTTAATATTGTAAACTTGCATCTGAATACATTAAATAAGTGTTTAATGAATAGTGTTGTGCACTTTGTTTCCAACCCCACTGTTATTGACTTACTGTTATTCAGTTTTCAGTTAAAGATATTTCACAATATCAAAGTTTATATTTTACAAGGATTTATTTTTGGTGCTTTTGTTTTTATTTATACAGGACAGTACAGAAAGCGCAGAAATGGGAGAGAGTGGAGGGGATGGCATCAGAAAGGACCTAGAGCTGGGACACTTTCAAGGATCACCCAAAGCACAACCACGCTATATGCACAAGGCTGTTGGTTCTAGCATTTTAGGGTCCGCCTCGGTAAAAATCATGTTCCTCATTCCCCGTGGTAAAAAAAAGATGCGGCCCGGGGGGGTTCCCCTCATTAGAAATCGCGTTCCCCCTCTCAATTTGCAAAATCAACACCTAATTCAACATTAATCCAATGTCTACGGAACGATCATAATTAACCCATGATGAAGGTAAACAACGTCACGATTTAAATGGTGAAACTACGTCGCGATTTCAACGGTGAAACAACGTCACAATATCAACGTTGATCCAATTAACAAAATCGACACCTAATTCAACGTTAATCCAACTTCAACAGAACAACCTTAATTCACCCATGCTGAAGGTAAAACGGTGAAACAGCGTCACGATTTAAACGGTGAAACAACGTCACAATATCAACATTGATCCAATTTGCAAAATCGAAACATAATCCAACGTTGATTCAACCATGGTACCAACACCGGTGAATCACCGTTGAAAGGCTAGCTGGGTGTTATGTAAGAAAAATATTATATTTTCAGAAATACTTTTTTTTTTTTTTCAAACCTAGTCTGTGGGGTCAAACGCCCCCAGGGGTCATGGCTTAATTACTGTAGTTACTCCGTTCTGAACATCAAATCCTTTGTTTTTCCATCAAATGTATTCTAACTAGTTGGTTGAATAAAAACATTTACACTTTATGTTAAAAAATTACCTCAAGCATCAGCCAACAATATTTTTCAAATAGGCTATTACAATTTTGTAATTCATAAATATTGATTATATTATTTTTTTAAGCCAAAACTTCCTGTACTCTGATTTCACTATAAATGTATAAAACAAATTGCTTTGTTAATTCTGGAGACATTTAACTTTTGTTTCACAGAAAAAAAAGAGTTTTTTAAGAGTTTTCCCCCACTCTTTACCTTAAAACTGTGACCTCTGTGAACTGCGAAACAACAATTGTATTGCACAAAGCTCATTTTGGTATCAGTTACTCAGTATG